ACAACCCGGACTGCCTGAAGAACCTTTGGAGAGCCCCTCCCACCAGCAAGCCTGGTCAGAAGAGAGCGGGACCACAGGGGAGGCGGTGAAGTGATGGGGAGCTGAGCTGAAAACAGACCCCGAAGCAGAGCTTTGGAGGCCGGGTGGGGCCGTGGTGGGCAGGGGGGAAAGGAGGGGCTTCCCAGAGCCCAAACAGACTTGCTTAGAGTCCCCCAGCCCCGGGTGTCAATGGGAGCATTTGAACTCACACCTTCCTGGGTCAAAGGCCTGCCCTCCATCTGCTGTACCAAGCTCCTGCTCCTGTGGGGAATGAAAGACAAATTGGAGTGAAGTGAGTGCTGAACTCAGAGGTACAGGATCTGAGTTCAAACGCTGACACTGCCCCATACTAAGAACGTAACCCTTACTACATTCTCTTGTCTGTAAAATGAGGGGGGCTGGGCAGGACATGTGCGAAGGCATGGAGATGGCAGTGGGTCTCTAGGGCCATGGTCCTTGCCAGTGCCTCTCCTTCCACCTGGCAGCCACAGAGAGATGGACTTCTCTGCTCAGGCCTGGAGAGCTTCCTGAATGTCCCCTGCCCTGAGGGGGAGAAGCTGTTGTTGTTGTAAAAGGGGGTTCTTGTCCTAGAGAACCCTAAATCATAGAGCAGCTGCCTGCCTGACCCAAGAAGGAAGTTTCCCTGGGAGCTCCTCCCCAGTGACATCCCAGGCCTTCTCCCCCCACCCCCCACTTTCAGGCCTTCTTGTGAGCCAGGCGGTATCAATGGCCGGCCTCCCCTCTCCCCAGTGGAGAAGGGGATCCCTACTCCCAGCTCTCCTGACCTTCCATTTGCTGCTCTTTGCACAAGACCACCCTGCTCTCATGTCCCTTCCTATGCTCAGATTTTGTGACTTTGTGACTATGATTTCCACTTTGTAAAAGGCTTCATCATCCCAGGAAAAAGGTGACCTGGGGCCAAACCACCCTGAATCTGTCACCAGCCCTTCTCTAGTCCCTCTTCTAAGCATCCTTCACCCTGCCCCCATCCTGTCCAGAAGAATTCTCCTCCTGATCTGGCTCTCTCTGGGCACCAATGGCTTGGCATGTTCTCATGGTGACGGCTGAGTATCAGAGCACCCCGGAAAGCAAACCCAAAGGGACAGTCTGTCAAGAGCGCATGGTCACTTGATCCGTGGCTGGGCTTGTTTTCCATACAGATGGCAGCAGCACAGCATACCAAGATGGCCGGCTTGAAGTGGGACCTTGGGTGGCCTGGCAGCCCCGGCTGGTGGTGCTTTTGGTGCAAATGCAGCCCCTGGCCAGGGGACGGGGAAGGAACCTAGAGGTCAGCCTTGACACCTTCCAAGCACAGAAATAGGTGATGAAGGGGAGAACCCCAGGTGGGCCTGATTGCTTCCTCATTGCCCCACATAGTTCCAGGAAGACTGTGGGGGGCAGCACGTGGCTGCCATTGTCATCACGTGGCTGCCATTGTCATCACTATCCCCCCACTGTCATAAATGTGACTCCCTCATTTGAATATGAATATATCTCATATATATATATATATATATATATATATATATATACACACACACACACACACACACACACACACACACACACACAGACATATATATAGATATGTATGTGTAGGAGATGCACAAACACACTGACCTGGTGAGGATGTAGGGCTGATAATACACACCCATTTTGTATATGGTCTCCTAGAGGTTAAGTGATTTATTCAAGGTCACACAGCTAGGATGTACAGAGCTGGGATGAGAACCCATATCCTCTGATGACCTTTCCATGCTCTTCCTACTCACCTGATATCGCTGTGCCCCCTCTAAGATTCTAGTGGTAACTGTCCATGTGCACATACACAGGCTAACACACGTGCATGCACATGTGCACAAACACACAGGCTAACAGGCATGTTGCACATGCATATGTGCATAAGCACACACACGCACATGTGCACACACGGGTATATCTGCATCTACCTCATACTGAGGCCCTCTTGGACTCCCTTAGGCTGGGGGGTCCCCAAAGTTTTCCTCACCTTTGGTTCAATCGTTGGAATGACTTGGTTAAGATGAAGCTTAACAGAGACAAATGTCAAGTCTTGTGCTTAGGTTCCAAATGTCACTCAACTGGCCCCACACAGGACAAGGCATTTATGACTAGATAGTAGCTGACAGTGAAGAAATCTCAAGGTCTCAGTGGCCCCCAAGCTTCATATGATCCAGTGGGGGATGTGGCCCTCAAATAATGACTGGGATCTCAAGCTGCAGTGATAGGCTCCCTATGGCCCCCCAGGAAAGGCGGGCAGTCCTGCTGTGCCCAGTCCTCATGGGGCCCCATTGGAATCTAGGATTCACTTCTGGAGGCTGCATCTGAGGAGTATCACAGAATTATAGGCCTAGGGCTAGAAAAGATTTTAACCGCCCTCTAAGCCTCATCTCCATGATTTACAGAAGAGGAAACTGAGGCCTGGAGACATCAAGTGGGTGCATGTGGTCAAGTGGAAAGAATGGATTCGAACAGGGCTAGGCTATGATTCAAGGTTCTCCAGTTCCCAGTCCTCCAAGCTGCACCACATGACTTTCTGATAAGCAGCTTTGGTTGGGCTCCCCGGGTGGAGTAAAGATGCCGAGGGAGAGCCAGCAAGACCTCAGAGGCACCAAGTCCAACTGGTCTATGAACAAGAACCCTCGCAACACCACAACGTCCCAGACAAGGGTCGTCCAGCCTTTTCTGAAGACCCCAGGGAGGTGCCAGTAGGGGCTGAGGTGGGGTCAAGGTAGCTCGAGGGGAAGGGGAACGGCTGGCACTTGTCCTCAGAGGACCTGGGATCTTCTCCCAGCTCTATGTGCAAAATGGGGCTGTAATTTATACTTGCCCCACGGTTGTTGTGAGTCTAGTCAAGAGGCATTTATGTGCCACGTGTAGCGCTAAGCATTGGAAATACAAAGACAGGCAAAAGACAGCCTTGCCCTCAAGGAGCTCCCATTTCAAGGGTCCAAATAAACTGTACAAGTGAGAGATATAAAGGAGACCGTGGGAGTGCGTGCCTAGGATGTCCATGAGGCGCTTGAGATGCCCAAAGGCCATTAGAGATAGGAGCTTGGAGGTCAAGGGACATGTTAGGGTTGCCTAAATCTGTCTGAGAACCATCTGTGTAGAGGTGGTAACTGAATCCATGGGAGCCAATGAACTCACCAAGTTAAACAGTGTAGAGGGAGAAAAGGGCCCAGGCACATCCTTGGGGGACACCAGCAGCTGGCTGGCAAGTCTGGAAGAGGAGAGGTCAGACAGGTGGGAGGAGAGCCAGGAGAGAGCTGTGTTCTAAAAACTGAGAGAGAAGGGACTATTGAGGGGGAGAGGGTGGCCAACAGCGTCCAAGGCTGCAGCGAGGCTGAGGGGGGGAGGGCTGAGGAAAGGGCAGTTAAGAGACCGCCAGTGCCTTTGGAGGCAGCTGTTATCTAGAAGCCAGGCTGCAGAGAGCTTAGAAGAGAATGATTGAGAGGCAAAGAAGTGTAGGCGGTCTTCAGACCGTCTTCTTGAGGTCTTCTCCCTTAGCCACAAAAGGGAGGAGAGAGGTGGAGAGAGAGGAGAAAGATGGTGGAAGGGCCTCTTAACCATAAAGAGCTGAGTAAATGCAGTGGTCACCCTCCAGGGAGACTACCAGCGACTAGCCCTGGGCTCCTTGTCCAGCTGGACTATGAACTCCACAGCTATAAAGATTTCTACAAAGTATCGAGCTGTCTGTAAAAACACGTGGGTGGATGGCTTGTTGGGAGAGCGCTGCATTTGTCTAAATCTTCCCACTTCTCTTTAGAGCGGACTGTTGGTTTCTGTGCTAAAGTGCTAAAGGATTGTTCTATCCCAGAGCTAATAGTTGGTGTGAATGTGTGTGTGTGTGTGTGTGTGTGTGTGTGTATGTACACGTGTGTGAGAGGGAGAGAAAAAGAGAGGGGAGTGGGGAGGGAGGAAGGGGAGGAAGAGATCTGATCAGATAATAGCTCAATTTAGAAGTCTTTGGTTTCTCTGGCATAAAAATGTTAATTGGGGGATCATGCTCGCTGCCAAACATGACAGTTTGCTTTCAGACACCTAGGAATCTCTCTAAGGGTAGAAAGTATACCCAGGGGCGCCAAAATCTCTCTCTCTCTCTTTTAATCTCCATTCTGACAGAGTGGAGGTGCTAATGGACACATTTATTCTGATTTAAGATTATTTTTCCTTTTGATTTCATGTCAAGTTATCACTTCACATTAAGTCTTTAGATAACTGTCTGAGAACCACAGAGTTTTATTGCTAGAGGGGACGATAGTGAGCAGCTAGTCTTGCTCCATCAACTTACAGAACAGGAAACTGAGTCCCAGAGAGGTTAGCAGAGGTGCCCAAAGGCACAGAGCTGGTTATGGGCGGAGCTAGGATTCAAATCCAGCTCTTATTTTATTCTAAATCCAAATTCAGTGCCTGTATTAAAGATGTAACTTGGGAATCTGGATTCCCCTCCCTCTCTCCCTCTCTCCCTCCCTCTCTCCCTCTCCCACTCCCTCCTTCCCTGCCTTCTCTCTTCCTCTTCTTTTTGTCCCAGACCTGTCATTTCACTGGTACAGGTAAATGTCGATGAAGACACTTCCTCTCCGGATGCAGGTCAGTAACTCTTCGGTGACCGATAGTCTTAGAAAGCTGTCTGAGGGCACTGAGAGAGAAATCCAGGTGGCCCAGTGCGGATGTGTCATCGGTAGGACTTGCACCCAGATCTCACTGGCCCTGAGGACAGCTCTGTGTCTACCCCCTTATACTCCCCACCCAGCAGTATGCCCTGGGTACTTCCTAAGTGTTTCTTAACTTCTGACCGCTGGCCCAGGGGCACCGATAAAATCCTCGGCTGAGCTGTGCCCCGGCCAGCCAGCCAGCCAGCGGGGGCCCTCTCACCGCTTTGGCTTCCTGCTCAACAGACTCGGGACGGGGTGTGGCCCTTGAGGATGGACGCGCTGGCAGTGACATTGTCAGCAGAGCCCGCCACTCTGTGGAAATCCGAATGGCGCTTTCCTGTGGGCCATCGACGCTCTAATGATCACTTGGAGCTCCAGGACAGATGTCTGCCATTCCTGGGCTCAGTGGCTTTCGGAAAAGCCTTTTTGTTTTGGTGGCATCAGCAGGAAAAGAGGAAATTAGTTGGAAACGAGGCTCCGTTAAAACAATAGTTGGAGGCGGCCGAGCTTGGATAAACAGTCCCTGCTGCTGCCCCAGCATCAGCAGGGGGCCTGGAGCCCCGCTCTTTGTGATCTGACCTGATGAGGCCAGCAGCCTGGCGCCCACGAAGGGTCTGCTCAGAAGCATCAGCTGACGGCCGAGGCAGGGCCGGGCACCGAGCGGCTGCTCCGAGTGCCGAGCCAATCGGTTTGAGAGAGCCCTCCAGTTCTGGCTGCCTCAGCAACCTGCAGGTCCCAGCTCTTGGGCTGGCCAGCTGCTTGGCTCTGGGCAGTGTGAGCTCAGCACGCCCGGGGCCCCCTACGAGACCCTTCGGTCCCTGCCAGGTGGGTTCTGGTCTGACTAACGTATAAAAATGCCAGGAGAGGATGGATGAAGGGCTGGCGGAAGGGGATCAGGGCCTTCCGAGCCATCTCCTCTCAGGCTGTGGGCACTGGGTGTGTTCGCCCTGCAGGCTCAGCCCAGGACTTGAGGAGACTGGAGTGAGTTTGGGAAGAGAAAACCAGCGTAGCTTGAGTTGAGGGTGAGAAGGGCAGAAAGCGAAACAATGCGCTTGGGGAGGAGATTGGCCCCGACTGGCCCCAGGATTCCGGGATTCCTGGATCTTTATTTTTCCAGTCCTATTCTCTGGGTCCTGTCTGAAGGGATCCAGAGCAATGAGATGATCCCCAGAGACTGTGCTGCCCTCCCCACTGAGTAGTGCTGGAAACTCTGGACTTCAGGCTGTCCGATGGCGTAGCCAGGGTCTGCACGGGTCAGGAAGGCAGGACGAATGTCCTAGGAGCAGGAAGCCAGAGGAGGACACCAGCCTGCTCTGCGTGGAGCTTAGAAAGTCCTAGCACTGCTAAGCCGACTGAGTTGTCAGGAAGGAGAGCCCGTGAGACATGGGAGGGGCCGAATGGGGCACCTCTGGGGAGTCTGGATCCTGGCACGCTTACCCTGTGTGTCTGTATCTGTTTCCTGGTGGGAGGGGTGTTCCTGGAGAAGATTTTGTGTGCCAGGTGCTACCTGCACTGTAGGAGGACTTAGGATGCATTGTGCCCTAAAGGATTGGGACGGCGATGGTTCCACTGCCTCCCCCCCCTCCCAGTTTTTTGTCCCTTTCTGGTCATTTGGTTCCTGCTTCATGATGCCCTGACCTCAGGCAGGCCCTCTCCCCACACGTCCTACCACCAGCTTCTTTTTCAACAGCCGCTTCAGAATTCCCACACGCTTGTCACAAGGTCAGAGGTGATCCACCCCTCCCCAACTCTCTCCTCTTTCCTTGGATAAGCTTGTACCAGAGGGCCGGCCCTCTGGAAGTCAAAGTCCAAGGCATCCTTAGATGACAAATGTGGACAGTTCCCAGTTCTAATTAAACTCGCCTTTGGATGCGGTCACCAGGGAGGCCTTGGGAAGCCACAGAAATGAGGAGAACGCTGACAGGCATCACAGCTAGCTTGTGCCATCACTTCACCGGGCAGAGGCAGGAGCTGCTGGGGAAATTGGGGGGAAGGAACAGACTTCCTATTGCTTTGCACGTACACCTGGCCTCCTCGTAGCTGCTTCTGGGTTGGGAGGGCTTTAGAACAGAACGAAGTGCTGACCCAAGCGCACTCTTTGGGAGCACCCGGAAAGGCAGCACTCTACAGGTGTGCAGGAAGCTTTCTGCCGAGGTTCCCTCTTGGGAAGGCAGCCGGGGGACATGTAGGGCATCTCGACGCCTCCTTCTCCTAATGCTCACATACATGATGACTGTGTGGTGCTCGTGCCAGAGTCACTGGTCAGGTCATCAGAGGGTGAGTCTGTGATGACAAGAGAATTCGGATTCAGCCTCTGTTGCATGAAAGTGATTTCTGTTCGTAAATTCCAGCAACTCCTTGAGGGTGAGAGGCAGTGTTGGTAGAGATATTCTGGGTTTTTAGATGAGGATTTGAAGGATGAATTAGTGGGACATTGGGTTCCTAGAAACCCTCTGGATTAGAGTCCAGCTCAGTGGTCAAAAGAAGAGAGGTGACTCTGGATCCCCGAGCACAAAGAGGAAGCGAGGTCTGTGACACTGGCCATGAACTTTGCTTCCTACTCTGTGAGAGAATTCAAACTCCAGCCTTTTACCCATCTCCTGCCGTCATGGTCAGGAGCGTTCATATTCACGGTGGCTCCTCTTAACAATAAGGATGCCAATGACTGATACTTCTAGACCACTTTGACTTATGTCCTCTCATGTGAGCCTCCCCGCAACCCTGGAAGGACCCACGCTGAGGTATTGTCATCCCCTGTGCAGATGAAGAAACTGAGGCTTAGAAGGTAATGAACTTGCTCCTTGTCTCCAAGCTGGTGTCAGAGGCAGGATTTGAATGGGGATCTTCTTCTTCTGGAATCCTTGCCTCTACACCCTGCCCAATTCCTTAGCTCCTTCAGCTCCAAAGTCCCCTCTCTCCACTCACTTTAGCCACAGATCTACATGGTCTTACTCGATCTTGCAGAAATGCACCTGGTGTCCCTATTGGAAGTATGCATTGAGCACCTTCCCTGCCCCTTGGGCTGTGTCCCCTCTGTCCATCTCTTCTGCTTCTCCCTCCCGCTTTCTCTCTTCTCTGCCCTTCGGTGGATGGACCCAGAGCGCTCTTTCAGCCTGTGCAGGCAGCTCTGGCTTCACATGTCTCCATGCTTAACCTCAACCACACGCCTGACCTACCTACTCCTCAGTGTTCCTCTAACTATGCCTGTCTTTCCCTGTTTGATCTCATGGCTGAGTTGCTCTGCCCTTGAAGGCCCGCTGACCCCCACTCCCCTTCTCTAAGGTGACTTCTCTACTTCCACCCTTGGGCTGCAGAGCATTAAGGGGAGAAGGTCTCCAAATGGAGCTGCCTTCACTGGAGCTAACCCCCTGCCTCCCCCACCTTCCTCATATTGCCTGATCATCATGGTTCTAGATCTCCAAACAACTGGTCCTTTTGCAGAGAAGTGCAAAGTGTGTTCCCAGCCCCAAACTACCCCTTGGCTGGTCCAAGCCTTCCTCCCACAAGAGGCCTTCTAGGGCCCACAGGAGCTCCGTGGAAGATCTTGGTGATTCATGATCTTGCCCCTCTCTCTCCGTGGTGTCCTTGGAATGTCAGCACTTCCTCTGGGGTCCAGGAGTCCCAGGGAAGTGTGCCACCCTCGGATTGTCTCTTCATCCTCTTCCCTCCTCAGGGTGGCTTGGAGGGGTGGATCAGATTTACTGGAGGTGCTCCCAGAGGCATCTAGAAAAGGGAGGGAGTGAGGTGTCAGAGCATCCCGGCCCAGGTATCCCCGCGCCAGGGAGAGAGCTGGGCCATCAGTGCTCTCCCTTTTCTCTTCCTCCAGCCTCACATCATCACTGTCCTCTCTCTCCTGGCCCAGATGAAGAGGTATCCCACCTTTTACTAAAGCTAATCTCTGCCCACACCCTTGAGCCCACCTCTTCACACTCATTCCAGGACCTTCCTCTCCTACCTAGCATCTAGCTCTTCCTCTGGCCTGACTCTTCCCCGTCTGAGGACAAACATGCTTAGATCTCCCCATTACAAAAAAAGAGTCTTTCCTCAGTCCTCCTGCCTTCTCTCTTCTGCCTTAGCTGTATTCAAATCCCCCAGGACTGCACGTTCTCATCAGTTACTTTCTCTGCAGCTCTTGCTACTCGTCTCCTGCCCCCATAATTCTCCTGAACCTTCCTTTCACAGGTCCTCCTGCCTAAGTGGCCTCCTTATCGCTGACCCAATGGATTTCTTCCAGTCTCATGCTCTTTGGCTTCTTGCAGTTTGGGGGATGCCACTGACCACTTCCTTCTGTTGGACACTCTCTCCTCCCTTGACTTCTGGGGCAGCACATTCTGGTGTTTCAAAAGAGACCTGGATTTTGGAGTTGACAGACCTGGGTTCAAATATTATCCCATCACTTAATGTATAACAAGTCATAGTCTTTCTCTGACTCAGTTTCCTTATTTGTGAATTGGGGCTAATAATATCTTTTCTCTCATGTGACTATTATGAGGTTCAAATGAGATAATACATCCAAATGCTTTGTAAACCAAAAAGCAGATGGAAATGTTTCTTGTTGCTGTTGATAGTAGCAGTAGTGGTAGTAGTAATAGTAGTGATGGTAGCAGCAGCAGCAGCAGCAGCAGTAGTAGTAGTAGCAGCAGTAGTAGTAGTAGCAGTAGTAGTAGTAGTAGTAGTAGCAGCAGCAGCAGCAGCAGCAGTAGTAGTAGTAGCAGCAGTAGTAGTAGTAGCAGCAGTAGTAGTAGTAGTAGCAGCAGCAGCAGCAGCAGCAGCAGCAGCAGCAGCAGTAGTAGTAGCAGTAGTAGTAGTAGCAGTAGTAGTAGTAGTAGTAGCAGCAGCAGCAGCAGCAGCAGTAGTAGTAGCAGTAGTAGTAGTAGTAGTAGCAGCAGCAGCAGCAGCAGCAGCAGCAGTAGTAGTAGCAGTAGTAGTAGTAGCAGTAGTAGTAGTAGTAGTAGCAGTAGTAGTAGTAGCAGTAGTAGTAGTAGTAGTAGCAGCAGCAGCAGCAGCAGCAGTAGTAGTAGCAGTAGTAGTAGTAGTAGCAGCAGCAGCAGCAGCAGCAGCAGCAGTAGTAGTAGTAGCAGCAGTAGTAGTAGTAGCAGTAGTAGTAGTAGTAGTAGCAGCAGCAGCAGCAGCAGCAGTAGTAGTAGCAGTAGTAGTAGTAGTAGTAGCAGCAGCAGCAGCAGCAGTAGTAGTAGTAGCAGCAGTAGTAGTAGTAGCAGTAGTAGTAGTAGTAGTAGCAGCAGCAGCAGCAGCAGCAGTAGTAGTAGCAGTAGTAGTAGTAGTAGTAGCAGCAGCAGCAGCAGCAGCAGCAGTAGTAGTAATAGTAATAGTCTTCTTCTTACCTCTCTAACTATTCCTTCTCTGTCCCCTTTGTTGGATCCCCTTCATTTTCCTTAACATCAATATTCTCTAGGGTTGTGTTGGTAAATGTTTAACAACAAGCTCTCAAAAAAAATGCACTTTTGGGTTTTATCTGCATTATTAGTATTTTCATCACTTTCTGAAGTCTGGAAATTAGCAAAACAATGACCAAGCCCTGATTTGTGGGATTTGATAATTTTCAAAGAGTAAATGATCATCACTGAAAATTTAGCAATCGACTCCAGACCCCATTTGAACAGGCACCAGCAAAGCTCTGTTATTCCCTCTGAATCTGTCCTCATCCATATGAGTCACTCCTGAGCAGCCCCTTTCCCTGTAGATCAGGGACCCTGGGATCTCATCTACTGCCTCCAGGTAGATGAGTCAGAGAGCCCTATCTCCTGTCCTGACTTCTCCTGGCACTTCAAGCCCACATCTCCAGCTGCCTCTAAGATGTCTGCACTTAAGTGACCCATAGGTGCTCTCAGTTCATAGGGTGAGCACCGTTCAGTAACCTCATGCTGTTTCTCTGTGATCCCTTTGGGTTCCATGATTCTAGGATCCAGGGAATCTTTGTGGACTTCGCTTAAGCTAGGCAGCGTGTACAATCCCATGGTGGGACCAAATGGGGCGCAGAGGTGCCTGGCAGGGGATAAAGGGAAAGGGAAAGTGGGCAAGAGGAAGGAGGAAAGGAGGACAAGAAAGAATGAAGAGAAAGAGAGACCCTTTCATACTGGGGAGTGGGAATCAGTCATGTCATGTCTCAATATTTTTTTTTTAACTTTAGCTTTTCCTGATCATCCTAGGAAAAATGGGAATGAAATGGGACAAGACCTTCAAAGAGAGATAATATAGACAATGCTGGGTTAGGAGTCAGAGGTCTTGGGTTCAAACATCTTCCCATTCTGAATCAATGACCCTTGTAAAGCAGGACCTCCTCTTCTTGAAAGCAGCCTCTCCTCCCACACTCCTTGCTGAAGTGACTGATCCCTCCTTTCCACCTCAAGGTAAGTTAGCTCTTTATGCTCTTGGGAGCATAAAGTCTTAGACACACCTCTCCTTTGCATATTCAGATCTTCTTGGGTTTTTTTTTATTTTTTTGCTGAACACTAAGGAGTGGAAGCCCATGGGTAAAGGCACTGGTGACCAAGGAGTCATGAGACCTTTTGATTCAAGGTGTCTCTCTAAGAAGAAGTGGAGGATTTGAGGTTGCTTTGTCCAACTGGGTCATTTTTACAAAGGAGAAAAACTGAGCTCTGGAGAGAAGTGGCTTGCCCAAGGTGATGTGGGCAATGCCAAAAACAGCTGGTGTTTCTGTTGGGTTTTCAAGGCTTCCAAGTTCTAGATCAGGCCTTCCTGACTCCTAGCCCAACACTCTAGCTGCCTGCCTTAGTTTCCTCATCATAAAACAAGGGTGTTGGGCTCTTTTACCCCAGCCTGGGGCCAAGGGTCCCAAGATCTTTTTTGCCCCATTTGATTCTCTGGTCCTCATTCTGTACCTTCCCTGAGGTTGATCTGTCTTTTTGGCTGTGGCTCTGATATGAGCAATGGGCTTTCGCTAGACCTGGTGATACTGGCTTGCTGGTCAAGACTGGGCTAACCCTAGCCCAGCCCAGAGCAGGGAAGGCTGGGTCAGTGTGGTTTAGGGGAAAGGGCATGGGATTTGGAGTTAGAAGACATGGGACTGATTCCCAGCTCAGCCACAAACTGCCTGTGAGACCTTGGGTAGGTCATCTGTAACATAAGGGGCTTGGATGGCCTGACTTCCAAGATTCCTCCCAGCTCTAAATCTAAGCTCCTGTAAGCCGCTCAGTCTGTCCTCAATGGTCCCAGCTGCTGAGTGATCCAGACTAGACAGGTTCTGGCTTGTGCTGTACTTCCCTCTGGCCTGTTCAGCATTCTCTAGCACCCTGTCCCTGTCCCGCATGGAAGAAGAGAGCAGGAAGGCGTGGGTTTCTTCTGCAGATTCATTGCAGAAGCATCAATGGACATGGAGGGGGCCGCTTGGTGAATGGAGCTGCGGCAGCAGGGTGGTAATTGACCGCCTTCATTGTGGTGATGCCCTCTGCAGTACTTGGGGAACTCTCCTGCCATCAGCAGGTTCGTGCCCGGAAATGCTGGCCTGTCTTAATATTCCCCCAAGGAAAACCTGGGGAGGAGAGTGCTAAGCTGCAGAAAACTCATTGGATGCAGTCCAGGGCCAAAGAGAAGCAAGCTTTTGGCTATTCAGCACTAAAAATCAGCAGCGTCTGGGTGATGCTGGGACTTCAGATGCCCAGAGTCCTATGCCCTCACTTTGAAGATGAAGAAGGTGAGGCCCAGGGAAGGGAAGGGGTTTACCCAAGGTCACACAGGTAGAAAGCATGCTGTCCTTTCTCCTAATGTACCATGTTCCTTGGCCCAAAGGGAAATTCATTCATAAAGACTTTTCACAAAAGCTTCCAGAAATGGAGGGATACAAAACTGCCCTGGCAGGAGAAGGGGAATTTATTTTACTGACAGAGATTCAAAATGACAAAAGGCAATAATCAGTGAGCATTTAAAAGTTCCTACTATGTGCTAGGGCAGCTAGGTGGTAAAGTGGATAATAGGGTGCTGGTCAGGAAGACTCATCATCATAAGTTCAAATCTGGCCTCAGACACTTACTAGTTGTGTGACCCTGGGCAAGTCACTTCACCCAGTTAGCCTCAGTTTCCTCATCTGTAAAATGAGATGGAGAAGGAAATGACAATCCCTCCAATATCTCTGCCAAGAAAAACCCCCCAAATGGGGTTACCTTGAGGAACTTGCATTCTAGCATGGGAGAGCTACTTTGGTTCTATCTCAAAATGCAGGGAAGAGAACGAATGTCCAACAAGGCTCGAAAGATGGATGGGGGCTAGGCTGTGAGGGGCTTCAGAGCAGCTGAGAGCTGGCCATAGAGGCAAGTCAGTCATGAGCTGGTTGAGCAGGGAAGTCGCACCATCAGGTCTATGCTTTGCCTGCGATGTGGGTGGATTGGAGGGTGGAGACCTGGGGCAGGGGGACTAGGCAGGAGGTCACTGGAATGGTTTAGGTGAGAGATGATGAGTTCCTGAGCTAAGATGGGACGCACGTGAGGGGAGAGGGCTGGGAAGGGCAGTCGAGGATACGAGTTGTTGTTGTTGAATTGTTTCAGTCTCATCTGACTCTTTGTGACCTCATTTAACAGGTGAGGAAACTGAGGCAAACAGGGTGAAGTGACTTACCCAGGGTCCTGCAGCTAGGGAGTGGCTGAGGCCAGATTTGGACTCTTGAGGATGAGTCCTTCTGACTGCAGGCACGACAGCGCCGTCTAGCCGCCCTGAGGATGCAAGACTGGGGCTGATTCTGTGGCTCCATGGACGTTAGGCAGTGGTCTTTCTAGTTACGCAAGGTCATCTCCTTATAGGGACAGTCCAGATCCTTAGGGTCATTAGTCAACAGGCATTTATTAAGTGCTTGCTGTGTGCCAAGCTCTGCCCTCAAGGAGCTCATGGACTAATGGCGGACTGTGCAATCAGCTGCAGGCTAGGGGCCAGCATGTGTGTGTGTGTGTGTGGGCAGCGATCAGTAAGAGGGTCTTCCTGACATGGAGGCCTGTCGAGAAAGTCCATGTTCAGTTAACTTGGGGGTGGGGAGCCAAACCACGGAGTCTGAAAAACTCTCCAGGCCCTCAGGTTGGGGGCCGGGGCAGAAGAGAACTGGAGCAGGATGTGCTGCTCTGAGTCTGAGACAAAGGCTGTCTACCTGACTTGCACTGTTACCCTGAGTGCTTGCATGGGAGATGAGAACCCTTTAACTCACATCGGGGAGACAACCATGGGCTATAATTAATAATTCTGGTTGAATGAGTTGTAGACCATGAAGTTTCCCAGCAGAGACTCTGTGTGGGCAAGACAGGTCGAAGAGGGGTGGTCTGGGGGGAGTGAAGGGGAGTGGACTCCCCCAGGTTTGAACCCAGGGCCTGTGAGCTCAGAGCCTAGGGAGCTGGCCACGAGGTACATGGGATTCTGAGAGTCCATGAGTTTGCTTCCAGGAGGGCTCGGCCTCAATGTGCGTGCTTTTATCCATGCCTTTAAATGAGGGCTTCTCAACTATAAAGGAAAGTGGAAAAACCCAGCCCCGTGCTGGTATGAGCTCAGCACTTCACGGAATAAATGTGCCTGGTACTGGCTTGTTTTGCAGTGTTTGGTTTCCATGGAGACGGGCTGCCTTCCTGCATCCCTCTGCTTTAGAGACACTCACCACTGATCTGCAGACATTCCATTTCTGCTGTTACTCCCTGCTCTTTCATCATGCCCATTGACCGGAATTAGCTTGGACCTCGCTGCCCTGCCCAGACCTGCTCAGGAAAACAGGAGGCGAGCAGTGATACTTGGGCCATCCAGACTGAAAGGGGCACCCTAAGGGAGGTGTACATTTTAGGAGGCTTGGGAGTGTGTGTGCTCATTTTAGGACCTGCCCCTGCTTTGGTCCTGGTGACCCACCTGGAACTAGGTGTGGCAAAGAAGGGCATTGGCCCTGATGGGAGGCTGGGAAAGACAAACATTACTGCTGCCTCCTCTGACCAGGGAGGAAATAAGCACTATGGAGTGCCTACTATGTGCCAGGCATTGTATGAAGAGGGAAGGTGAGAGGAGTGAACACAGCTCTTAGGAAAGCTGGATAGAGGCCTGCCTCAACTTCCCAAAGGTAGCCTGAGAGTGTCCAGAAGGAGTGGGGAAGGGGATGATGAGATGCCTTGGGTTTAGCCTTCAGGAAGCCCCTGATTCTTCATCACCTAAACTTTGAGGTTTTGAAAACTGGTCCCCCATTCCCTTGAGACAGACTTAATCAATAAATAAAAAAACCATTTACTAAGCACTTTTACTGTGCAGCAGACTCATTGTCCTGGAGATGCAAAGAAAAGGCAAAAATAAGCCCTTCCCCCTGCAAGCTTGCTCTCTCCTGTTTGGGGGCGGGGGAAGGGGAGGGGAAACAGCTCCTGCCCAAATCCTGTCTACACCTGTTCAAGCACCTGTGGTCTCCCTCAGGGATTTTTAAGCTCCTAGAGGAGAGGAGCTGTCTTTGCCTTTGTAAAAGCACATGGGTGGTGCTTAAGAAACGGGTTTAATTGTCAGATATGAGTATGTTATATGTACTATATGTACACACACATATAAATATAATTTCATGGATGTATATACAGTCATCCCTTTCACATGGCAACTTTCCCTATTGCGGTTTCAATGTATCTGGCGTCAGCTTAAGAAATTAAATGGGAATTTTGAGGGAGTTTTGCAGAAGCCACAGGGGGACCAAGCCTATGACCAATTACTTAACCCAAATTTTACTAGAAGGTACTGTAAACATGCCATAAAAGAAAAGAAAAGTTCAGACTTCTCTGGTATGAAGGGAGAGCCAAAATTTTATGTGGATTTTCCAGATCAAGGGGGTGCTGAGGGATAACTGAATGCATATATACACGTATATGTGCACACACATAATGAATGCTGCAAGGCAGTGTTGGGGAGGAGGGATCAGGGAAGGCCCAGAAGGAAGCTGGGGATGCTGAGAAGTGGAGCTGAATGGGGAGTGCACTCCAGGCAGGAGGTACAGCCTGAGCAAAGGCTGAGAGAGGGGAGAGGCAGAATGTTGCAAAGTCTCTCTGGTCTGTGGAGGAGAGCACGTGCAGGGAAGTGAGGTGTAAGAGACCCGGAGGTGGGCTGCAGAAGCAGGGAGGAGGCCTTGGTCCGACAGAGAGCAGGAAGCTAAGAGCAGGAGAATCGTGTGGCTGAAGCCCACCTCAGACTTTGACCAGATGTGTGACCCCGGGCAAGTCACTGAACCTCAGTTCCTTCCCCTGTGAAACAGGGATGATGGCAGTTCCTTTCAGGGCTGTTTTGAGGATGGATTGAGATAATATTTGTAAAGTGCTTTGCAGACCTTAAAGTGAAATGTAAATACTAGCTCCTCACCCTCCCCACCCTGCTCCTATGACCTATGACCCCCTGTCTCCAAAGCTGGGCCAGGCCAGCAGAACACAAGCTGCAGGGGGCACAGCTAGGCTGGTGATGCTTAACGCTCACCCGGAGGCCTGGGGATGACCACTGGCCAGCTCAAAGTGGCTCGTTTCCCCAGGCATGGCTGGAAGGAATCAATTTTCCTGGCCCTTCCCGCAGGGGCCTAGAGCACAGTTGCTGTCTGCATCAGTGGAGAGAGAGCCCCCATGCATCAGACCCCGAGGCCTCGAATGCAATGAAGGATGGTGGTGATGGGGCTGACCTCTCCACACACGAGTCTGGCTAAAAGCTCTGACACAGAACTAGTGGGCTGTCGGTCAGCCCCAAGGAAGCCGTCTGTCCTGGACAGCAGTGACTGTGGTCAGCTTGAGGTTTTCCCTTGGACTGAGCTGCCTCAGCTTCAATCGCCATGACCAGTGGGTCTGGCTGCCGCCCTCCCTTCCTAGCTCCAGATGGAGACCGGCTGTTGCTTCGGCAGAGCTGCAGAGGTCACGTCCTAGAAGGAGGAGATGGCCCACTGAGCTGGAAGCGGGATGGCATGGCAGACCACAAGTCACTCAGCACCAGCACCTCCTTGTGGCTTTGGTTCTTCCCTTACAGACGATGAAGGAGGCCAGAGACCTGTGGCAGTGCATGGTGGGTGTGAGCAAGGAAATGATCCCAACCATACTGTATAAAGGGAGAAAGGAGGCGGGACCAGGAAAGGAGGTGGTAATGAAAGACAGTCAGACTGTCATGCAATAAGCATTTATTAAGCACCTCCTACATGCTCAGCACAGAGCTGGGGTCACAAAGCATGGCGGAAACCGTCCTGGCACCAAGGTGCTCACAATTCGTGAAGGAGCCCTCACACATAACTGTGTTCACGCACAGCAGACGCGGGAGATTTGGAGGTAAGCAGTGGCTGGGGAGGGGTTGGGATGGAAAGGCCTCCTGTAGAGGAGGAGATTAGAGCTGAGCGTTGTGGGAAGCTGGGGAATCCAAGAAGCAGAGCTTTAGGGGCACAGGGGAAGGGAGGTGAAAAGGTACTGAGGGGACGGGTGGGGTGTCCTGGGTAAGGAAAGTCAAGGAGGCCGGTGAACCTGCAGCAGGGAGCGTGTGGAGGGGAGTAGGGTATGAGAGGGCTGGAAAAGCTGTACAGGGCATCAATTCTCGGGGGCAGTTGGGTGGCACAGTGGATAGCGCTCCAGGTCTGGAGTCAGGAAGACCTGAGTTCTAATCCAGCCTCAGACACTTCCTAGCTGCGTGACCCTGGGCAAGTCACTTCACCCTGTTTGCCTCAGTTTCCTCCTCTATTAAAACAGCTGGAGAAGGCAGTGGCAAACCCCTCCAGTGTCTCTGCTAAGAAAAACCTCAAATGGGGTCACAAAGTCGGACATGACTGAAACAACTAACCAACAGTAACACATTGTCAGGCTTTGTGTCCTTAGACTTGAGCCTATTCTCATCCAGCTCTGGAACGCTCCTGTGCTCACCGGTTTAATCCAGGGGCAGGGAACCTGCAGCCTCAAGGCCACATGTGGCCCTCTAGGTCCTCTAGTGCGGCCCTTTGACTGACTCCAAACGTGGCCGTCATGACAACTATCGCTGGCGGGTGGCTCCTGCGCACAAGGGGCTCGGTCACTCAGAGTGCCAGGCTTCTAGCTCTTGTCAGTCCAAGGTTCCACCAGGCCCATTTATCTTCTCTCTCTCCCAGTCTCTCTCTCTATATATATATATATATATATATATATATATATATATATATGTATACACACACACACAAATCTAATATGTGCATATATGTATGTATATATGTATGACATATATTATAAATCTGAGTAAAATATGTATGTGTGTATATCTATCAATCTATCTATCCATCTATCTCTACACACATATATGGAGAGAGACAGAGATAGAGACAGAGACAGGGAGAGCTAGACAGATCCCTTTCTCTGCCTATGCTACCGCACAGTAGACAAAAGTTTTCTTCTCTTCTGATTTCCCAGACTTATGAACTATACCGCTGAAATCACAGCTCTGAGCGAAACAGACAGGCCTATAATTCCACATGTAAATGCGCAGAGCAGCAGTGGGACCTGGCCTTTGTCTCAGCTGCCGATCTTAGAGCTCCGCTGCCCTGGGGGGCTGAGCAAGGTTGGAAAGGCCCCTATAATGTGGCCATCGAGGGGTGCTTTGCCAGCCCCAAGACAGTCGCGGCAGCTCCAAAATACATTTCCCTGGGTCTGTTTCAGACCATGGAAGCAGGAGGCTTGAGGGAAACTCTATACAAAGTAATTTTAGCTAAGCACTCATTACGATTTTCTGCTCGATCAGTAGGACCCAGGGGTCGCCTCTTTATTTTGATTTTTGAAGGCGGAAGGGCAGGTGCAGCCATTTCCTGGGTATTACTGATCGGCTCACGACGTCACTGGCAGCCAGTCAAAAGCTTGCTTGGGCTTCCCATGTTCTAAAGCCATTTCACAATTTTTCCAAACATCAAAAGTTCCTTGATTCTGGTTCCAAGCATCTCAGATGCCAGTTCCACTTGGCTCCACTTGGCACCAGGTTGGTTCGACTTTCCATCAGATCTTTGCTGCTGTTCCAAGGGCACGTGTCCTCTGCATCCCCTTCCCCAGGGACGATGGCGTCTGCGCCAGCTGGGCCAGAGATGGGGCTCACACCTGGGGCAGGATCTGAGTTAGTTTCCAAGGATCTACTTGCTCCTTGTCTCGGGGTCCTGGGAGAAGGTTGGGAGAAGCCCCGTAGAGAGGAGGCCGGTGAATGCCCAGAGACCTTGAGATCCGCTCCATTGTGGTTCTCTGGTCCCTGTTTTTCTGTCTTCCAGAGTGAGGTTGGCTTCCAGGGAGCCATGACAGAGGCAGAAGAACAGCTCCGTTATTTTCCTCGGACCCTGAGCTGCTGTAATTACTGAAAAAACTAACCTCCTCTGAGCCTAAGTTCCCTTCCTCCTGCCCAAAACCGGGCTGCCAATGCCATCCTCTGGGACCATCAGGGATCGGACCTGATACAAACAGCAGCCTCTGCCATCTCGGTGGGTGGCTCAAAAATATGGCTCCTTTCATCTTGGGGTGAGGCTCCCTGGGTATGCAGTTCTCCTGGGATGCCAAGGGCTTTGGCAGAAGGAAAAGGAGAGGAGCAGAAGGAGGAGAAGGTCAGGCTGCCCAAGCCAAGCACTCTGGGCCGGCGAGTCAGAGGCCGTTCAGGTGTTCTGGTGCCGCAGAGCCCTTCCCCAGCATCCCCTGGCTCTGGACAACCTTCCTCATTCTTTCATTCACAGAGGGTCCAGCCTTCCAGGGCTACGGGCTCCTCCTCACACAGGATTCTTCATCTCCCGTCTGCGTGCCTTCACGCTGGCTGTACGCCCTGCCTGCCATGCTTTTCCTCCCCCCTTCACTCCTTCTCTACTTGGCTGAAATCTGCCCTTCTGCAGGAGGCCTTTCCTGGTCCCCAGGCTGCCAGGGCCTTCCCCTCCTTCCACCTCCTCTGCAGGCTTCTTGGATGACCTCTTTGCTTCCATGTTACTTCCTTGGTTGGATGAAGATTCCTTGAGGGCAGGGATTGGCTGGACTCCACACAGCCTTTAGCATAGTGCTGGGCCTAGAGCAAGCCCTCAGTACATTCTTGGTCCACTGAGGCAGTCACGGTGGTATGATCCTTAGTCCCGTTTCTCAGCAGACAAAGCAGAGGCTTGTGTTTTATCCCATCAGGTGAACGGGGGTGGAGCAGTCAGATGGCCGCAGCCTTCCCCAGCTCATCCCTCTGTCGCTCTCCCATTGTGTCGGAAGGACTGTGCTCAGGGATGGGCGCCATGTTTTTGGAAGGATGGTGACAAGCTAGAAAGAGTCCAGAGAGGGC